ATAATATCAACATTTTGACCTCATTGTAATACAAGGAGGTGATTAAAAAAGAATGCACCAGAAATCATAACACGATAATTAAAAAACGAAAACCAGCAGAAAACTCCAGCTTGCACAAATTATGTGGTGTACATACCTTCAAGTTTGTATTTCAACTTTAACAAGTGCTCAATGTGGCAACCACCGGCAGTACGGACAACATCAAGCCGATATGAGAATTCCTCCCAATCGCGCCTCAAGATGTTTCAGACCACCGTGTTGCTTCTAACTCACTGTTATTCGATCTTTCATGTCATTGATATTCGCTAGAAATGGTGGAACATTAACGTTGTCTTTAACATGCCCCCTACAAAAAGTGGCTATTCCCTTTACTACAGCTGCACGCAGATTGGAATGACTTCAATTTTCACCAAGAAGGAGCACCGCCCTATTACATTGGCATCTCGGGGTTTCTGCTTATATGAATGAAAACGTGCCTCGGTGGTGAATTGGAAGGAAACCTCGCTCTCTGCGGTTAGCCCGCCAGATCCCCGGACCTCACTGTGTGTGATGTGTGATTTGTTGGTTTTTTTTTTGGGGGGGGGGGTATGTTGAAGGTATGTACAGCACATGTGTCCAATCTAGGAGTTTTACATTGTTTTTCGCTTTTGAAATATCTTGTGATGATTTTGGCGTATTCTTTTTGAATTACCCTGTATCATACATTGCTAAAAATTGCATTTATAATGCTCATTTTCATCTCAACCATGCTCAATGTGCAATGCTATTATAAAAAAAAAAAAGATAAAGCAAACATCTTCAGACTCAAGCCGATCAGAAAAGCGCTACAAAAACAACAACAAACAACAACAACATCATCATCAACAGCAGCAACAACAACAACAACAACAACAACAACAACAACAACACCTCCACCACCTACAACAACAAACAAACAAACAAAAGTAAATGGCACTCATTGATAAGAAAGAAATAATTGTTACAATAAACAGGTATGTTGAAATGAAATGCAAATGAGAACATGTACATCCATATTTACGCCTAGTTGTGCATGAAAAAGCATGGTTATGTTTTGCCACTCGCAGTGTGAAAAACAAAAAGAAAGTGTCAGCTTGTTGGATGGAAATGCTATAAAAATTAAATGCTCTAGGGTTGAATAAGAGGGTCTTTGCGTTACGAAATAAATGTAGATCAGTGAAGATCCCAGATTCTGTCCCAAATTAGTTGTGAAGAAGAGAGTTGTCAGGCTCTTTGGTAAGCGTATGTGCACGTGTGTGAGTGTGCGTGTGTGTGCGTGTGTGTGTGAGTGTGTGTGTCTGTGTGTACGTGTATATCTGCGTGTATGTGTGTGTGTGTGTGTGTGTGTGTGTG